GGGGGCGGCGTGGGGGGAGCCGGTCGTGGAGCCATCAGGGACCTTCTTCCTCCGCAATAAGAAGGTACCTGACCCCCCCTCTCCCCAACCCTACCCCGGACGCCTGGGTCCTTCCCGGACGCCTGGGTCCCTCTGGGCTCCTTATGGTGCTCCACGGAGGTGACATCTCAGCCCGGACACCTGGGTCCCCCTCGGCAGCCCCGGACAGCTGGGTCCCCGGAGGGTCCCACCGATGCCACCCTGAGTTACTCATCGCTGCTCTTCCCCTCTGGCTGCTCGTCGGGGACCGGGGCCAGGTAACACACCCCACCCATGGGTCACCTTGTCCCCGGGGGCCCAGGCATCCGGGTGATCTACCCTGTCTCTGTCCCCTCTGCTAGGTTGCGAGGGGACACCGTGGTCTACAGTGTCCTCAAGAGGAGCCAGGGGGGTGCCAAGGTACCACTGTGTCCCTCCATGTCCCCATGTCCCTCCATGACCCCACCATGTTCTCCATGTCCCCCATGTTCTCCCTGTCCCTTCATGACACCATGTCCCCCATGTTCTCCATGTCCCTCCATGACCATGTCCCTACCATGTCCCCCATGTCCCTTCATGTCCCCCATGATCTCCATGTCCCTCCATGTCCCCCATGTTCTCCATGTCCCCCATGTCCCTCCGTTTCCCGTCCATGTCCCCTGGTTGTCCCCGAGTCCCATGTCCCCTCATCACCCCTATGTCACCCCCCCGTCCGAGGCTGCCTGTGTCCCCACAGGCCACTGAGGGGCCCGACTACGAGAACGTCCATCCCGGCCAGAGCGATGGGGACGGGAACCGGGAAGGGACCCTGCTCTACGCTGCCCTGGCCCTGTCCTCGCCGGGGACGCCACAGGGACGCTGCGTGGACACCAGGGAGGCCGAGGACACCGTGGAGTACGCGGCCCTGCGAGACAGGGGGATAACGGGGACCCGGCCACCGCGAGGACACGGGGGGGGGGATGGTGACACCGGGCCCATAAGGACACACAAGGACATGGGGATGCCGGGCCACAGGGACATAGTGGGGGAAGAGGGTCATCAGGATTTGGCCACCATGGAGCGGGGATAAGGGGACAGATTGGGGGGGGGCACGGCCACGGGGACATGGGGACACCATGGGACCACAGGAGGATGGTGACACCGGGGGCGGGTGAGCATGACCACCAGGACCCTGCCATCACCAGGACCTGGGACATTAGGATATGGGGACAAGGCCGCTATGGGGACACAGGGAGGTGGTGACATGGGGACATGGCCACCTTGGGGACCAGGGGACAAGGATTTGGGGACAAGGGGACCATAGGGACATAGCCGCCATGAGGACCTAGCGGGCATAAGGACATAGCTGACACGGGGACATGGCCACCACGGGGCCATCGGGACCCCCCCCCCCCCCCTGTGGGAACATGCCCACCGCGGGGGACACGCCAACGCTGCCATGGGAGGACACGCAAGGAAGATGCCAACGCTGCCATGGGGGACACGCAAGGACAGGGTTGTGGCCACAAGCATCCTGGGGACACGGCCACCACCATGGGGGGGGCCGTGGAAGGACACAGCTAGGGACAGGCCATGGCCACCGTGGGGACTTGCAAGGACGTGGCTGGAGACACAGCTGGGACATGCCACGGCCACCGTGGGGACACGCCACAGCCAGCGTGGGGACACGCATGGGCACGGACAGGGACACGCCACCACCACTGCATGGACACGCCTGGGACATGCCACAGCCAGCACGGGGACACGCATGGGCACGGACAGGGACACGCCTAGGACAAGCTACAGCCGCTGCGGGAACACGCCTAGGACACGCCACAGCCAGCATGGGGACACGCATGGACATGGAAAGGGACATGCCTGGGACATGCCACAGCCAACATGGGGACACGCCAGGGACACAGATCCACGCGTGTGCCCCAGGCATGGCTCAATAGAGCCCGGACACCTGGGTCCTCTCCCCGGGGTGGGGGAGGGGAAGGGAAGGACAGACACCGATGGC